AGCCCGTGTCCTCGACCTTGCAGAGCAGCTCGCAGTTGTTGCCCCACGAGATGACGGTGGTTTTCTTGGGAAAGTAGGCCCAGGCCAGCTTGAACGACACGAGCCCGTTGGCGCGCAGCTGGCTGAGCTTGGCGCGGGTCTCGGCGAAGATGTCGTCGAGGAGGCGGATGAAGAGCAGCATGAAGGGTCGCAGCGGGGGGTCGCCCTTGGTCGCCTCGAGCTCGCGGTACTTGGCCGTGATGTCATCGTAGGCAAAGTAGAGCTCTTGGAACGGATGGGAAAAGGGGGCGTTTTCGTTGGCGTCGAGGTGGATGTCCTGCTTCTGGAGGATCTCGCTAATGGCGGCGACCAGGAGCGGGTTCTGGACCTCAATCTGGTGGTAGCGCAGGCTGTGGCGGCCTGAGATGACGGGCTTGTCCTTGTCCTTGACCTTGAAGACCTTGATGGCGACGCGGTCCTGGGCTTTGGCGGCGCTTTTGCTCAGCTGCTTGGGCGGGTAGTCGACCCAGTCGTAGTAGCCTTCGTTGCCCCCAGGCCCTTCATAGAGGGTCTTTACTGTGAGACTTGAGCCGAGCTCGACACCTTTGCTTGGGCCGGAGGTGGATGCAAGGCCCTTTTCGTCGATGGCAACTTCGGTGTCGGCCGATGAGAAGTCAGACAAGGTCTTGTCACCGCTCTTGCCGAGGTTCTGCAGCTTGTACCGCCATTTCCACAAGTTCTCAGACAACTCGACGCGACTGATCATGCTGAGGACTTGTCGGCGAGGACGTTTGGAAACAGAGATGAGATGTTGGCTGCGATGGAGTACACCTCTTACAAAGCTGCTACAACTCGAACTCGAGCTGCTTGAACTGCGGATACTCTGCGTGTCTGGCTGGGGGAGCACTCGCATGAGGTGTGGAAAAGGATTGAATGGGTTGGAAGTAAACAACTGGCTTGGAAAGAAGACATGCGAGAGACATATATACACATTATTGAGGACGGCCTATCAGATGGACACGTCGAGTATTGGCTTTGGCTGAGGTATTCAACATGACTCCATGTTGGTGGCCTCATTGGCTAGGGTCTGGGGTCTGGGGTAGGACTCATACGGGGAGGGGTTGTGTGATGCCGTTTTGTGGCTGCCTTTGGAAGCAGCGATGGTGGCTTTTTTTTTGTCGCGTCTCCATGTCCCCAAAGACCGCAGAGACCGTTGCCTTGGCAGGTAAACGCATTCAACTTTGCTAGCGCCTGGCTCGACCTTGCAAGGTGGTCTCTCGATGACTTGAGATGCCGATAGGAAAGCGAGAACCGTGGAGGCATGTCCTCACTAACTGTTTTCAGCTTCGCCGTCTGGCTTTTGCTGTCCATTGTTGTCTGAGGTGGACAGGAACGAAAATGGAGGCCGTCCAATTTTTGGGCCCGTCGTCTTGCACAAGTCCTACCCTGGCAGGACTTCTAGGCAGACAAGCCCCCGCAACGCCAACCACGACGCCCAGACATCCCCCACAGAACGGGCGGAGGGTGATTGGTGGCGGCAGTCGTGGTTGCAGCTCCGGGAAAGGGCTCCTGGGAGCCAGGCTGGAGCTAGCTAGGGTAAGCCCCTTCTCAATTCATCTGCTCAATTGGGCAGACAGCACGGAACGCCCATCAATCTGCCTCGAGATGGACCGTGAACCTCAATATCACCACCTGCCAAGCTTTCTGACCATCACCTCCAACCCCCTGGGGTATTGCTCCTCGGAGGCCGTCCATTCTTTTCAATGGTATCTTGTTTGCAATTGTTGGCGATGTCATTGAACTCGGGTTGTGCAAAACATGATACATTGATGGGTCCATGCCACGGTGACGACGACCTTGCCCACTGCAATCCTCTTTTTCCATCTCTATCGACTGAATATTATCCAATATAAACTTGAATCGGTCAAGCGAGGGGGTTTATACTCGGCCAGATTCTGCTGGCTGACTAACGTGCCTGCTGTATCCATTGTTGCTGTCAAGAGTCCCCCCCATGCCTTCCGTCCGTGGGCTGTTTATGACTGTTGTCTCAATTTTCAAAGAGCGTTTGCACCCAAAATATGTTTGCCCGTGACTCCGCGTCCTCATGTGAAAATTTTCTCTGAAATTGCCCCCCAAAATACCCAAGGTAGGCGAACACCGCTCAGAGCTCCTCGTGCGTCCTCTCCTGCTCCTTCTCGCCCTTTGACACCTGTGCACTGTCACTCTCTTCGTGTCCAGAGATCACAGCCGCCTCATTCAAAAACTTGCCGACAATCTTGGCCGTCAGCTTCTCGTCGCCCTTCACCACGTACGGAACTACAACTCCCGTCATCGACTTGATCAGAGCCAAGCCAATCTTTGATTCTGCTTCCCCAGTAGTCAGCACCATGTCGGGGTGCTCCGCTGGGTCAATGATGACAAACTGCACCAAGTCAGCATGCTTTTTGGCCAGCGGCCTCATCTTCTCTCGATAGGCTTCCTTCTCGGCATCCGTCGTGGCGAAGAAGTGCAAAACACTCTTGCTTGTCTACACATGACGAGATTAGCTTGGCATCACTCGATACGCGCCAAAGATAATACTTACCCTTGCGTAATCCTTCCTGTTTCGTCTCGTTATCTCGGGAATCAGCGGCTCAGAGCACAGTTTGACAAATTTCTCGAGCGCCTCCACTGCTGTCGTCTCGTATGTCTCATGCTTTACGTCGTCAGGGTTGTTGACACATGTCAGTCTGGACCTCGTTGCCCCGTACCCGGGCGGCGTTACGACAAAACTATAGTCGTCTTTGTACTTCTTGGCAAAGTCGTAAAACCTGTCGTACAAGTTCCAGTCGTCCGGATGAATATGGCCCCTAATAACAACGTCGTCCAAGAGTGTCAGCTGGTCAGCCATCTGCTCGTCCGCTTCAAAAACTGCCGGGCGGAAAGTCCTGCGGAGGAATAAGCTGATTCTACGCCGCATCTGTTAGCGTCGCTGATTTCCCTCAAAAGTAACCCTGTCACTGACTCTCTGCCCTTCCGCTCACCCCTGTACCGATCCATCCGCCCGTCGCGGTGATACACTCGGATAGCTGGGAAGGAGGAAACGTCGAGGTCGTTGCACACTTTCGGGTGAACCTCGCAGTCAAAGCTGACAATGTTGTCGTCCTCTTCTCTTTCTTGCATCGCGACCCATTCTGCTTCTAATGACCTGCTAGCATCCCTGAGAACCGGGTTAGCTTTGCCGTTAACTAACGTCTTAATTAAGGCCCGACTTACTGTGAGGGCTTGAAGAAAGACTTCAATTAGCAAAGCCCATTGTCAACATTTGGAAGTCTTTTAGGACGAAATCTCACCATGACAACTATGATATGAGAGTCAGCATTGGAGAACCACAAGATGTTCAAGGATAAACTTACAAGCAATAAGTGTGTATCCACTCGAATCCAATGCATCCTGGAGCTTGGTATCATTGACATGGCTCCATGCCAATGCCTGCCATGGGAGGCCCCAGGCTGTCAAGCACAACGTCCAACTAAAAAGCTTCATTGTCTTTGAGAATGTTGTATGCCAAAAGTCCAACTCGGGCTCCTGAAAACGAAGAATGCAATATCAGAAAGTAGGCGAAAGGACAGCTGGTCGTGTCGTGGTTGAGAGTTCACAATTTAGCCGCCTTGTTACAGATACGACCTTGGTCTCCTTATGCGCTTGGCAGAGACGTCAGTTTTGCTGCCAGCCAGCCAATAGCCATGATAGAACTGGATCTACCGGAACGGCCCATTCAGGGTAAAATAGCCCGATTTGACCACTGCTGGGTATTGGTGTGAACGGACACATCTGTCGGTTGAGAACACCTAGATCACTTCTCAGCCTACCGATTCGAGTGGTATCGACACCTTCAAACAGTACGAAATTTCAGGTCGTGGTCAAACAGAAATTATTAGTTGACGATGAAGTCTTCTTCATCCCTACTCATCGTGGTTGCGGCCTTTCTCGGTCTCACTTCTGGCGAGCAAGAGCAAGATATCGGGATGGCACAAGCGCCGATAATCTCAGACGACTTTGTCTGCGAACACCCGCCTTATAAGGTGCAGCTAGTATCGACATCGCCTCTGGTCATTTACCTCAAGGGCTTCCTGACAGAAAAGGAGCGCACCCACCTGAAATCCGTCGGGTAAGCCTACTCCTTCTTGTCCAGGGTCACAACGCTAAATCCATCAGTAGAAAATCCGCCTTCCACTCAGCCCCAGCCAAAACCGCCCCGCAATCAACCTACATCCCGCGCGACGCCGTGGTAGAATGCATCGAAGAGCGCACGCTCTCCTTCCAAGGCTACGCGTCGTCCCACACACACCTTGAGCCCCTCCAGCTCGTCCGGCACACCCCAGACACTCCTGCACCAGACCACCCCCAACCAGACTGGTTCGCCGACCAGTCCTACCGCCTCGCCGAGAACGGCGGCAACAGAATCTCCAGCCTCCACGTCCTGGTCCACGTCGTGCCTGACACCGCCGACGGCGGCGTCAACTTCCCGCTGCTCAACGCGCCCCGCGGCGAGCGCTGGTGCGATGTGGTGAATTGCGATGGGGCGTGGGAGGAGGGAGTGACGTTCCGGCCGGTGGAGGGGAATGCACTTTACTGGGAGAATCTGGCCGCGGATGGGAGCGGGCGTGAGGAGGTGGTGAAGCGGGAACTTCCCGTTACGAGGGGGGAGAAGATTGGGTTGAATATCTGGACGAGGCAGGGGGTGTTGAGTAACGAGATTCGGGAGAAGTATGGGTATCCGAGTATTTAATGAAGGCCGCTGGCGTGTGTGGTGAGGGAGGAAAAAGTATGCCTCTGCGAGTGAAATAGGATGATGTTCCATCCGGCTGGCTACCTTACCCAGATCGTCTCGTAAGATCTAGGCTAAAAAACTTGAAGAAGCAAAAACCTCGAAAAAAGAAGAGGAAAGAAGAAACATGACGGAAAGCAAGCAACAGAGCAGAACGGAACGGAAGAAACAGAAACAGGAACAGAAAAGGACAGAACAAAGGAAAACAGGAGGGTCAGTCTGGGATTCGAACCCAGGACTACTTCCGGATACTATAGATTGAGTAGCAACTTGCCAACACAAACTGTAGTACCCTTGGAAGAATGTTACCACTACACCAACTGACCCGTTGAAAGCAGGTTGGCAAAACCTAGTCATATACTACCCACCCCTAGCCCCGGCCCCTTCCCCAATGCGCAACCATGCCCTTCGTAAACCACCGCCGCCCCTTCTCCCTACCAACGCCAGACACACCATCACACTAGCCGACAGCTTGACACCACCCACCAAACCCCCATAAACAACCAGTCCCAAGATTTCCCTCTCCATCGCCCTTGCCACATTCTTCAAACCCACCCTCGCTGCCACCTTATCCGGCCAGTCGCAACACATTACGCCAACACAAACCTGCGTTTTTCCCCAAGCTATATCAACCACAGAATCCAACCCTCCCCGGGGCGCCGATGAAGCTTTGATCGGGTAGACGTGTGCCCACGGTGTGAGGCTGTGCCGGGCATGCTCTCGCATCGTTCAAGTCGGCGGGGCGGATGATCTTGGCGCCATTACCGCGCTGGGCAGTGTTGGAAGTTGTAGCGGTTGACGTCGGTGGGCTTTGTCAAGGGTTCATTCCATCCTCGGTAGATACATCCGCCGAGAGAAAAGGGTGATGGGCGATGGGGAGGTTGTTGCGCGCCCATGGATACCAGCTGCAATGAGCCGATGGTGACGAGGCCTGACGGCTTGGATGTAAAGTTTGGCAACATGTCGAAGCTAGCTTCTGAGGACGAGGCTTCATCCCTATCCGAGGCGGCACATGAACTGAAACTAGAGACGCTCGGCTGAGTCTGGTCACTGCTGATTGAACCGCACATCGATACCGTTGATAAGCCGGAAGCCTGGCGCCTTGCTGCCCGCTGCGACCGCATATTGAGCGTCGGAGAGAGCGGCTGGTGAGGCAAGAATGAAGTTGGAGAGTTGTGTACCGTAAAGGGCATGGGAGACCTGAGGGGGCAGATGCTTTGGCGAATAGCGTGTCTGGTACGTGCCGGCAAGAAAGATGACGGCCTCCGAAGATTGCTGGTAGACAAGCCGTGGCGTGATGTTGTTTCGCAGTCGAGGTGTCGCGCCATCGACCAAGCTCGCCGTGCTTTTGACAAGCGGCCGAAGCAAGCTGAGTGGGCAATAGTGATACCGAATCCTAGGACCAGACGAAGTGTCAGTATATCGTTACTCGGTAGTTTTGCAAATGGTAGACATGAAAAGGCAGGGTGGGGCTTACTGGGCAAACAAAAGATCGAAGGTGCTGTCCATGTCTGATGCAAATGAGTCGGTAAATTGGCAGTAGTACTCAATACACTTGTCGTATGCATCTTCGAGATCCTTGGCGGTCATGGCCTTGGAGAAGTTATACGAGGAAAACGTATGGACTGTTTCTGTCACCTCGAAGACGAAGCGAGCAAGATGAGGACATAACTGCAATTCAGCAAAGAACCGCATCTGTAGGCCGATGCCTAAAGAAACATGTTAGTCTACCACCATACAGAGAATCCAGTCCCATTGGTCAGAGCCGATAGTATACCTCGCTTAACACGAACTTCGGGGGAGTCTTCGCCCAAGTCACCAGAGTCGAGTTGTAGTCTCATAAACAGTGGCCCCGTGTTAGGCTCGAGACGTCCAGTGAGAAGTCGAAGCACCCTTCATCCATTCAACATGTGTCAGCAGAGAACAAGGAAGGGGCTCTGGTAGCAGGAGGCATGATTTGAGTTTCGTTGACGTACTTGATTAGAGCGAACCCCTCCACAATATGCTAATGCTCTCACAGCCCTAAAGTCTATGTCATATTGGTCGCCTTGACGATGTGTCTGCAGTATCAGATGAGTTGACGACCTGGCAGATTCTTGAGCCAATTCCCAGGCTTCCTCATCGTTTCCTTGGCTTGTCTCGGCCAAGGCGAGCACTCCCAATGCTTGGATGCTCGGTAAGTTAACGTGAGTTTTGTTCTGCGACCAACAGCCGTTTGGCCTCGCCCAAAAAAGCATCTCCAAAGTTAACCCGAGAGATCAGCTGCGAAGTAGCATTGAAAAGCTTGCACGCCTTGCCTAAAATAGCGTTGACTAGTGACTCGGAGCAGTAGCGGTGATTGCCTTCGCGGAAGTCTTCCAAGAACTGCGACTGCGAAATTAGGGAGAGGGAGGAAAACGAGCCAGCAAAGAATCTCGCGACCAATCGCTGGCGAAGTATCGGTAGAGAAGCTGCTTCGGGATCCGTCGTAGGAGCCGGCAGACTGGCTGAGACCACTGCCGCCTCCATAGCTCATGGCAGTACTAAAACTGTTACAGCTAGGAGTGCTGAAGCTAGCAGCTCGGATTCGGTCACTCGGGGTTACTTCCGAGCCCTAAGTGGCTGCTAACCGGAAAGGAGAGGCGTCTTCAAAGCTCGTACTATCAACAGTGCCCAGTGGCAGCTAGTCGGGCGTACCAGACATACACCCCGTTTGGTGGATCCATTCGGCGATAGATTCAGGAGATTCTTCTTTGCGCATTCGATCCAAGACTGCTTCCTATTGTTTCGGGTCATTGTTGGTGAGTGCCCTGATTAGCGCATGTCCTTGGCGTTGTTCTGCTCGCAGCCTCTCGATCTCAGATCTCAAGTGGTCCTTTGTACGCCATTTCTTGTCTTAAGGCGCATTCTTCGCCGCAAGACCGACACCTTCGACATGGCATCTACCCATCCCACTGGAAGTTGCTGTTAGCTATTGTCCGACAAGGTCTTGGAAGGGAAGCAGTGGGAATTCGCTATCAAAATCCATTATCAGTCCGCTCACTTTTGTTCTTTTCTTGCGACATACAAGACACGCATTAGGTGTAAGATGCTGTCTTGGCGTGATAAAGGGGAAAGACTCGAGGGACTCGAAGACGTCTCGAGAGTGCAAACATCGCCAATGAGGGCGGCGACAACCGCCCCGGCTCCGTGTGTGTGGTCGGTCTTTGACGAGGAGGTAGTGTAGGGCGGCAGTTTTTTTTCTGGAAATCTGGAAGTTGTCAAGAAAGCGGCGAGCTTCCAAGGGGTGTATATAACCAAGATCTCAACTATCCGAAGGGACAGTCAAGACATGCAAGCTAAGCACACGAAGCAGAAGGCTCCCTGCTTACGCCCTACTACCGTAAACTTACGGGGCTGGTGGGCTGAGGGGTGAGTTGTCTATTGAGAGTTGGTGGACCGAGGGGCTGCTGCGGAGAAAGGAGCGAGCGCGCACTCTCTTAGCGGGAATACGAAGAGCTTTCCAGACTTCGCCGTATGGTGTAGTTGAAGTGTTTGCTGCTGCTCTATCTCACACAGCGGTAGACACACAACGAGACCGACCACAACTGGCAGATCAGCAACCACTGCCTGTAGAAGTTGGTAGCAAGAGATATGCCAACTACCTGTGCCCCTCTTGCCGGAGGTTACGCATAGTGGCTGCAGATGGGAGGAGGACGACCTGCCGCTCGCCAAGGGGCTACATCCTCGTCCTCATTCACCCACTTGAGCTCGAGAGCCGGGATGGAAGTTGTTGGATCATGCTGCTTGTTGAAGCATCTCGATAAGCGAATAGAGCTGAAACAAGAGAGGAGCTGAGTCACACAATGCAGACGTAGTTCCATTCTTGCTGCACCTTCTGGAGAATTTGGCCACGAGTAAGGAGAATAAGTTGCCCTGTCTCGATATGGCCGGGATTTGCAAAGACGGGTAGCGCTGCAAGGCAGTAGGTAGTCTGAGAACAAACCAACAAAGTTGGCCTTGACCCATTAGACTGCAAGGCAACTGCTCAGGTCCCCAACGGGCCTGTTCAAAGAGATGGATTGATGCGAAAGCAGAATAGATTACCTATCTGACTGGGACTGTTTTCCCCCAGTCATCGCCTTGACGGGTCCGAGAATTCTCAATTGCGATGGAGACACCCACGAACCTCGGGGGAGTCAGCTGCGCTTCGAGGTGAAACCGATACGCAAAAAGGCTGAGATAAAGAGCTATTGTCGATCGGGAAGAAGAGTGGGAGGGGGGCCGCGGGGAGAAAAGGTCTCCCAATGGTCGCCGCATCAACGCTGAAATCTGCCAAAGCGCTACTTAGCGTGGTCATGAGGCTGGAATTCGACAGCAGAAGGCATCGAGCACAAGTGTGGGCGATGATACTGTGAACCTTGAATTGCTCGCCAATCAGAAAACGAGGGAGAGATCCTAGAGCACTCGCGCTAAGTGCCAACTGGTGTGGTGCACGTGACGTACGCACGTAACCCCCACTCTTTTTTCGTGCAGCCGATGATGTGAAGATGAGCTCCAGCTATTTTCGACGTTGAACTCCCCAGCATCTCAATCCAGAGTCAGCCTGGGCTTCATTTTTCTGACTGTCTGCCTAAAATGCAACCGACGCGGTGCCTGCTCAAGAGATCGGTGTGGAAAGGTAATTGTAGCCCCTCATCCAATCCTTTCCCCTTCTATTTATGGCTCGCCCAGAGGACCTGGAGAGGTGATCTGGTCGTCGGATCATGCTGCCGTCACCGTCTTCGAGCCCCTCTTTGCCCTCCCCTCAATCGCATTGCTAACCTTGTCTGCTAGGCCCGAACATCGTCCCGTAAGAAGCCCCGACCCCGACTCCTGCTGATGTCCCCCTCCCCTCGAGGCCCAGGCCCGCCTGACCATTGGTGTTAAACAGTCTCCCGATCGTGCGCCCTGTGCAAGGCCAGAAGATCGTGCCGATTCGGACACAAGCGCGCTCTGCCACCATCCTCCCCAACTTTGTCGGTCTCAAGTTCCAGGTACACAATGGCAAGGTCTACCATGACGTGACCATTACCGAGGAGATGGTGGGCCATAAGCTGGGCGAGTTCTCGACGTACGTATAGACCGCACCCGAGAGAAGGACACCCAAGATACTGGCTGACTAACTGGATCATGCTGCAGAACGCGGAAGCCATTTATCTGGAACAAGAAATAAATGTATTGGCTCTTGGAATTAGGCATCTGGCGTTCAATGTTTTGCGGGGCGGAAATCTTGTACCCATACAGAGAGAAGAGATGTAACATTACGGGCGGCGTTGGTGGGCTGCTTTGAACCCCACACGCTACGATGGGTAGAGGTATTTAGAAG